CTCTTTTTCTTTTCTTTCTTTTTATCTTCTCTGCAGTTTACTTTTATTCTTTCTTCACCATATCCAACTTCTTATTCTTTTTATTCTTTTATATCTTTCTTTCTCTTCATTTCTCATTTATTTGCTTTTTTTCGTTGCCCTATTTTTATAAGTCATATAACTTATTAAAACAATAAAAATACAATGCTATACTATTTTATGTGTTTTTCATAGATGACACTTTGTGCTATTTTGTGTTTTTAACATATTTACTTAAATTTTTATTTCCTTTCATATAAATACTTATCTTCTTAATGAATTTGTTGATTTAATTATATGAATATATATTGTTTTTGTTTATTAACCTTTTATAGTTATATTAACAAAGCTATTCTTTTATGTTATTTTAACATGATAGTATTAATTAAGTAAGCGTCTAAAATTTTTAAAGAATGTATTTTAATTAGATTATTATTAGAATGGAGTCTATTCAAAAGATAAAATACTTTTTTAAAAAGTTTAAAAGAATGTGAATTATATTATTATTAAACTATTGACAAATGCGCTTGTTATTTACATGATATATTATACCCAAAGTCAGTAAATAATATTATAAACAAGTCAACAAAGTTAAAAAACACTTATAAATACTTGATTAATTAAAATAAAAAACACATCTAAAGAAAAAGGAAATGATTTGAGATACTCAATTCATTGTTTAAACAAATAAAAAGTTGAATAAAAATAGTTTAAGAATAACAACAAAATAACAAAATTGTTGTCTCAAATTAGTTTAATTAACATATTTTCACTTGTAGAAACTAAGTCAGAGTTAGTCAAAGAAATAGAAGAATAGTTTCTTCTATTATTTTGTATTAATTTTTAATGCAACAGAAATTTAGTATTTTATTTTTAGTTATAAGTACGTGGAACCACTCTTTGAATAATAAACAACATTGAATAGAAATGCCATTAAATGAAAATCTAAAAAATCACTCTCATTTACTCAAATGGAAAGAAAGACAAAAGAAGAATTAAAAATGGATATGGTAAGTGAAAAATTAGGCAAATACTTGTTACAAGGATGGACCATGTTAGGTAGTTGTTGTATAAATCATCCAACTGTTCCTTTAATGAGAGAAAGAGGTGGAAAGAAATGTATTTGTGTACTTTGTGATGATAAATATTATGTTGAAGATGGTAATAACTTATTAATGTATCTTACAAAAGGACAAGACGATGAGGTTATTCCAGAAGAAACCAAACTTACTTTAAATGAGAAAATTCCAGAAGAAAAGAAAGAACCCATTCATCAACTAAAAGAATATACAAGTGAAAGTGATGAAGATGATGACGATGAAGAAGAAATTGCGTTAATGATGGCAATTGAAAAACAAAAAGAACAACAAATAGGAAGAGGAAAAAAGAAAGAAGGAATTGACTCTTACCAAAGAAAAGGAGAGAGTAATGTTTCCGATACAACAAAAGATGTTAGAAAGGCTCCTCTCAAATTATTTACTTCAACAAATACAAATAATTCAAAAGACATGCAAATATGTATCCTTGAACATAAAATTGATGAGTTAGTTAAAGAAATTGAAGTTACTAGCCCAAAGAATGCTGATTTGATAAGTTCAATGTCTGTTGCAATTCAACAATTAAAACAAGCAATTTCTTCTCTTTAATTATTCATATTTTATTGAGTTGAAACGAGTGAAACAAAATAAAGATTTATTGAATTACTTTTTACTCTACTTCTATTTGGTTTGAATCTCCAAGAGTGAAGTATTGAGAAGAAAGAAATCCACCAACAGAATTATTGTTAGAAAATGCTCTACAAATAAAAAGACCTTTATCATTTGGTTGTAAAGGAATGTGAATAATATTATCAACCATTCCTTTAGTGTCTTGGTAGTGTACGTATTTTCTTCCAATAGGACCATCGACAGTATATAATCCAACCCAAGAAACTTTGTCAATTGGACCTTGTGATAAATAAACAATAAGCTCTTCACTTTGTTTAGAAACAATCATTTTAACTGGGTTTACATCGATTTGATTCAAATTAATTGAGGTTGAATGTTCTGAGTCAAAATATTGTAATTCATATTCTCCATCTTCAAGACTTAATTTCCATATAAAAGAAATACTTTTTCCTATTTCCCTTTTGTCTTTAACTAAATTTTCATTATACCTATCAACAATTTGTAAGAAATTATTTTTGAACCGTTCATTTCTATCAAAACTTGCAGTAATAATACAATCGTTTCCATTAATATTTATTTTAACATCATATTTTAATTCCGTTTGGATTAATTCTTTAATTTCTTTTTGTTCAGTTTCATTACTAATTTCTTTTTCTTGTGACGCAGTTAAAATAACTTCTTGTTCTTCCATATTACTTGGAGGAAGGGTTTTTTCTAAATCATCCTCCTTCTCAGTTTTTGTAATGTTCTCTTCTTCTTTTCGAGGCAGAGGAATTAATGGCTTAAGTATATACATTGGTGGTTGATATTTTATTCTATCACCATTGCCTACGTTATGGACATTGACATTTTCTTCTTTAGGAAGCTCTTTATTTTCTTGTTGTTGTTTTTTTTCATCTTCTTTATCTTTCTCTTTTTGTAATTTTACTAGTTCAGTGACGGTATTATTTAAATTTCTTCCACATAATTGATAAGTTTTTTCAATGTCTATATGTTGAAGTTTTGGAAATGCGTAATATAACTGGTTAATATCAGAATTGTATTGTTCTAATAGTTCATTTCTTTGGTTTGGTGTGAGGCAATTTACAACTGATGGGTGAAGAGCTAAACGAGGTTCTAATGTATTATCCATTTGATTTAATTCTATCCTTTAATTTCAAGTTCTCATTTAATCATCCAACCAATCTAATGAGGTTTTTTTTTGTCCTTTCATAACTAATGACTTTTCTGTGATTTTAAATAAATAAAAAACCAAATAACTTAACTAAACCATTTTTTAAAAATAATATTATTGTGTAATATAAAGCAAAAAAATAGTAAAAAAACTATGAATAAGTTCAATGAATATTCGTGGTATTTGCAGGAGTGAAGATGAACTAAAAAGACGACAAAAGAATTTAAACCAACTCAGAACAAAAAGAAGAGACCATTTTCTTCAACAAAGAAGACAAGAAGATACTGAAGAGACCTTTGTTGAACCTTCAAATTATTTTGAATATCTGCATGAATGCAAAACACGATTAACTAATCCTCAAACATTATTATCAGATAAAACAAAAATTGTTATTAACTTAAGAAAATGTGTTAGTTCAAAACAATACATTCCAATTCAAGAAATGATTGAATGTAATACTTTTTCCATTTTGTTAAAATGTATGACTGAAGAACAAAATGATGAAATAAAATATCAAATCGCATGGTTTTTCACAAACTTAGCAGTTTCACTAGACTCTGAAACGTCAGACCTTATTGTTCATTTAGGAGTAATAAAAGTGTTATTACATTGTGGGTTAACAACTCAAAAAATTGAAACTTCTGTTCAATGTTTATGGGGAGCTACAAATTATGTTATTGATAGTAATGATTGCAAAGAAATAGCTTCAGCAAATGGAATTTTTACATTATTAAATAGAGTAATTACAAATGATATTAATAATGTTCATGCATATTGGTCATTATCTTCATTGTTACGAACTTCTGATTGTATTACACCAGAATTACTTAATACTTTTATTCAGTACATTGCTTATGGATTGTCAAGTAATAATGATCCTATTATTGTTCATTGTATTCGTTGTGTATTTTATATTGGAAGAAATAAAACAGGATTGATTAAAATGTTTAATTCTTCAATTTTTATTCGATGCTTTTATTTAGCTTCTTCAAATAATCAGTCAATCAAACAATCTTCATTTAAGTTTATTCAATGGGTATCTTCTTCAAATGATGTTGATTTTATTCAATTATTTGATATAACAAACATTATTCCTTATTTTATCGATATGTTAAAAGAAATTCCTCTTTCTTGGTATCATAGAATTATTATGTTCACTTTTAGTAATTTAGCATTAACCAATGACAAGTACATTGAACAATTTATTGACAGTGGTACTTATTATATTGCTATTCAAATTATTATAAATTCAACAGCACCAGAAGAGGCTTTAATTAGAAAAGAGTGTTTTTTATTCATATTTTATTCAATTCAACAACATTATATACCATTATTAGACCATTTAATACAAAATGATTTTATTATATCCATTTTTAGTAAAATCAAATGGACTGATAACGAACTTGTAGCACAATCAATTTCAGCTGCTGAAATTCTTATTCATAATGAATCACAACTTTATCAATTTATTGATCAATTTAGAGAAATTGGTTTTGATAAAAGATTACAAGAAATAACAGAAAATTCAGATAATGAAGACCTAGTGGATAGAGTAAGTACCTTATTATTGGAATATTTTGATGGAGAAGAGCGTGATGAATTATCGTTATAATCTGATTTAATTACAATAGATTGTCTACCGATTAATTGATAAATAATTAAAATCTTAGTTTTTGTTTGATGTTTTAAAAAATGAAGAAATATCAAAGAGTTTTTTTTAAAATAAAGAAAATGGAAGTAATTATAAATTTGTTGTTTTAATTTAATATTATTAATCATAGAAATATGGAATATTATAATAACTTAATAACTTTCAAATAAAAATATTGATTGTATAGAATTACTTGTAATTTGTATTACAAAAGAATAATAACATATTGTTACTATATAATAATTAAATAAGAAAATAATATATTCACTTTTAAAGGTTGAATAAAGAAGAAATGAAATAATTATAAATTTTTTAATTCTATTTTGTTTTAATAGACTAAAATGTAATTAATAAGAAATTATTTTTATATTATACCTTTAATTATTTCAAAATAATATTTTATTGTTATTCTTACAAATATTGATTTGATTTATTTTTATGTTATATCATGTTTCAATAAGAATTACATGAAACAATCATAACTCAGAAACTATTTTTACTGACTTAGTTTTTCTTCTTACAATTATACTATTTAATTTGTTGATATTATGATAATTATGTTAATGACAATCTTTTAATTAAATTTATTAAGAATTATATAACATATTTTTGTTTTTAAATATAGAACATTTCATAAATTTAAATGTAAGAATGAATGTATTTCTATTATTATTATAACTAAACATAATTCCATCTTGTCAATTATAAAAAAAATTATTGAGTGAATATGACATTTCAAATTCACATATATTAATTTGTTAACAGTTGATTTGATTTTTATTTTGTTTCGTATTTATTTATAATAAAGAGATTGTTGTTATAAAGTCAGAAGTTTTTGATGAGATATGAATATCATAATATGATAAGAAAGTTTTATGTAAGAAAATATAAATGAGTGTCAATCTATTAATTTTTTACTTAGAAAAACTTATTAAAAGAATTACTTATTATTTTATCCCTTCCTTTTGAATAAAAATATAATTACTTTTGATAAGAAAAGACAATAATACGAAAAGAAAAATATATGAACCAGAAAAATAAATTATTCTTCATCAGCAGTATCTGAAGTCCAAAGAGTTAAGTTATCTCTTAAGAGTTGCATAATAAGAGTAGAATCCTTATAAGATGATTCTGGAACTTCATCAAGTTTGGCAATTGAATCATCAAATGCTTGTTTAGCGAGTTGACAGGCTTTGTCAGCATCATTCATAATTTCATAATAGAAAACAGAGAAATTAAGAGCAAGACCAAGTCTAATTGGATGAGTTGGTGCAAGATCAGCATTTGAAATTTCTGTAGCTTCAGTATAAGCAGCAAGAGATTTATCAGCAACTTCTTGTCTCTTTTCATCTACAGTAAATTCAGCATAATATCTATAATAATCACCTTCCATCTTCTTGTAGAAGACTTTGCTTTCAGAAGTAGAAGCATTTGGAAGAAGATTTTCTTTAATTACCTTAAGAACATCATCACAATATTTAGCAAGTTCGTCTTCAATTTTAGCTCTATATCCCTTAATAATTTCAACGTGTTTGTCATTTCCTTTAGCTTGTTCTTTTTGTTCAAGAGAAGTAATAATTCTCCATGAAGCTCTTCTAGATCCAATAACATTCTTATAAGCAACAGAAAGAAGATTTCTTTCTTCAACTGATAATTCAGTGTTAAGAGCAGCAACTTGTTTCATGTATTGAACCATTTCATCATATCTTTCACTTTGTTCAGCAAGTTTAGAAAGGAAGACACAATCTTCACGTGATTCAGCCATATTTATTTCTATTTGTTTATTATCAGTTCTTCCTTAAAAAGTTCAGGGTTGACACGTTGATCTTTCTTTTTTTTTTCTTTTTAAATTTTTTTATAATCTATTTTTAATAGTTTTTTCCATTATCTCTTTTATTATTCTTTATTCCTTTTTCAGTTCATGATATTTTTAGAATTATTTCTATTCTGAGCGAATCTAAAAATACACTGAATTTATCTCTCTTCATTTATTTTTAGGATTTTTCAGATTTTTTTCATTATTCATTTCTGATGTATTTTTGTGGGTTTTTCCAATAAACTTCAAAAATAGTGACGCTTTTTGAGGTTTTCAAGATTTATTTAAAATTCAGTTCTCTTTGAGGAATTAAGAAAAAGAAAAACATTTTGTTTATAATAACAATTTATTTTTATGAAAGAAGAAAGAGAAAAAAACAAAAAAAAACCCTGAAAAAAGAAAAAAAAGAACATCTAAAAATTCATATGAGTGAACGACCCAAAAGTTTTTCTCGATATTATCGTGATGTATTAGAACATAAAGAGAAGATATTCTATGACTATGAAAATGTTACTGTTGAATGGGGAAATCAAGACCCTTATCAAATTGTACGTAAAATTGGAAGAGGAAAATATAGTGATGTTTTTGAGGGTGTTGTGGTTGAACAAAATGTTCCATGTACTATTAAAGTGTTAAAACCAGTGAAAGCAAAAAAGTTTAATAGAGAGATTTTAATATTACAAGACCTTCGAGATGGACCAAATATTATTCAATTATATGATGTTGTAATGGAGCCATCAACACAAACTCCTGCGTTAGTTATGGAATATGTAGAAAATGTTGATTTTAAAACGTTATATCCATCGTTAAATTATATGGAAATATGTTATTATTTAAAAGAATTATTAAAGGCATTAGATTATACCCATTCAATGGGAATAATGCATCGTGATGTTAAACCACATAATGTTATGATTGATCCTAAGAAAAAAGTCCTTAAATTAATTGATTGGGGTCTTGCAGAATTTTATCATCCAGGAACTGAATACAATGTTCGAGTTGCTTCAAGATATTATAAAGGACCAGAGTTATTAACTGATCTTCAAGACTATGACTATTCATTAGATATGTGGAGTTTTGGTTGTATGGTTGCTACAATGTTTTTTGTTAAAGAACCATTATTTAAAGGTTCTAATAATAAAGATCAATTAGTTAAAATTGTTCAAGTATTAGGAACTGATGGATTCCAAAAATATGTTCAAAAATATCATTTGGAAATTGAAGATAAGCTAATGCAATTATTAATTGGATTTCCTAAAGTTGATTGGGACACTTTTAAAAATGAAAAGAACCAACATCTTATTACACCTTATGTTTATGACTTACTTTCTAAATTATTGGTTTATGACCATCAAGAACGTCTTAGTGCAAAAGAAGCAATGAACCATCCACTTTTCCAGTGTTTGTCTAAATAAATTGATTTTTTTTTAATAAATTTGTTATTTTGATACTGTTATTTTTTTTTTAAATAAAATTGAATGATTTAACTTAAAAATATTTTTAAATTCTTATTTCTTTTGTATTAGACAATATGAAGAACAATACATTTCTTCTTCTTTTTTTTCATCGTAAAGATATTTACTCGTTAATGAGTGTGTAGTTTGAACAGTAACTTTGCATAAAGTTTTTGGAACATAATCATAATCACAGAAATTAGTTGCTGTTGTAATGCCTAATGCATTTGTAACAGATGCTTTTAACCGAAACCAAAAAATACAACTTTGACATAATGTTTTCACTTTGATTTGTTCAATTGTTATAGAATTAATAAATGAAGCTAAAAAATTAATTTTTGATTTAACTCTTTGTTTTATAAATTCTAATTCCTCACTATGAAATAATTTATCTTCTTCGATTTTACGTTGTTCATTCCAATAAAGAATATTTTGTTTCATTTCAATAAATAGTAGTTTTATTTTTGTAATTGTGTTAACTATTTGTTGTTTAATTGAGAATGAAGGTTCAATATTATACTGTTCTTTTTTAAATTTCATTGAATTAATCTCTTCAAAAGATAACAGAGAAGAAATTATAATTGTGGGACTAAATTTTAAATTAGACAAATCTTCTTGATAAATAATAACTCCTTTTATTGTTTTTTCTGAAAATAAATGAATTAAACCATTAAAGTATAATAGAGTTATTATTTGATTTTCATAAGAATCAAAATAAATGTTTGTATTATTTAAATTATACAAATTAAATAATATATCTCCTTTACCAGTTAATTTAATATTTACTTTTTGATTTGATAATAATCCATCAAATGAAAATGAATAATATCCATCATTTAAGTGAATAATTGTAGATTGTGAAGATAGTATAAATTGGTTTGTTTCTTTTTTGTACAATACACAATTTGATTCTTTTAAATCTTTTGTATTTATAGTACATGTAAAGTTATTACCTGATGCAATGCAAATAATTATAAGAATTAAATAAATGTATGTCATCAGTTGAAAAGTTTTTTAATTAATTAGTTTATAAGAGACTGGATAGTAGTGTCTATGATAAAAATAAAACTATACATATTTAAAGAAATAAAACTAAAATTTGAATAATTATTTCATAGTATCAATTATTTTGGATAAATCAGAAGCAATATTTAGTAATTCTTGAGTATTTATTTTTTCTTCTCTATCAACAAGAACAAGTTTTCTTTGAATAGTCCCAAGTTTTTGTAATAAAGACTCTTCTATTTTATCAGAATCTCTTGAACATTTTTTCTTCGATAACCAATCAATCGGTTGATCAACTAACAATGAATTTTGATCAACTCTCATACAAATTGAAGTTCCACTTATCGAAACTCGATGTTCAGCTAAAGCAACAGCTAATTCAATTAAAAGTTTTATATCTTCTACTGGTGGATATTTCATCAATCTTCTCAAAGAATAACTTTCATCATCTCGTTCAACAATATCATTTCTTACATATAACATCATTACTATAAATAAAGAATCAACTAATTTTAATTGATGTCCAAAAGCAAAGATTGCATCCCATAAAATAACTACATCGTCTATATGAAATTCTCTTGCATATAACATTCGAATCCAACGAAGTCCAAACACTGCAGGAACAATATTATGTCTAATTAAAGTAGCAAAATATTTTGGGTCATATTTTGCTATTGATTGAAATAATTTTTCACATTTAAAATGAATTAATGATGTTGTGGAAGAGTCTTTTATTCTTTTTTGTTCATAAAATACTCCAAGGATGGTCATTAATTTTTCAAACAAAATAAATGTATCTGCTTCAATTTCATTTAAACAAATTACTGTATGTAATATTCCTCTTTCTATTGTATTGTTTTGAATTAACTCAGAATCTAAAACAAGTTCTCGAATAAAAATTCCCATTATCTCATGAAATCCTTGTTGATATCCTAAATCATTATGTTCACGCGCAAATATATATAATGCATTACTTATTTTTGTTCTTATTTCATTATCACAATAAAACTCAATTGAATTATATAATCTATCAATATCTTTCTTGATTTTTTTCTTTAATTCATCCCTTTCATTATTTGATGATCCACTTAATAATGGATCAACCACATACGTTTCATTTTCATATTTCTTTATAAGTTCATGATATCTTTTTCTTTCATTATTCATTTTACTTGTCCAAACAGAATTGACTGGTAATGGCAATACTCCAAGCCAAATCTTCCATGCAATTGTTCGTAAATTATATCTTGTCATTTTCCCTTCAAGTGCAAGCTTTTTAATTACTTTGGCACTCGTATCATTGACATACATCGTCTCAAAAATTTTTTGAGTTGTTTCCATTGTTTTACGTTTCTTTTGTGTTTTTGATTTTTTAGATTTTATTTTTGTTTTTTGATTGAAAAAAGAACAAACATCACTTCTTCTTTATTATTGCTTTGTCTACAATAAACACACTTTTTTAATTTTTCTTTCTCTTCACTTTCATTCTTTTTTTTCATTTATTGTTTCACAAAACAACTGTCTGACCAAAAAAAACTCGTGTTTGTTTTAGTGAAATATATTTTAACTCATCTAATCGATTTAATGATTATTAAAGTAAAATTTAATATGTACAATTAAAGATTTCTTTTTAAAGAGTTTTGAGTTATATAATTTGTTTTTATTCTATTTTCTTTTTCATTATAGAACTACATCTGAATCTTCTTATAATACCAATAAGAACAAACTTTCATTTTTAATACCCTTCTCTCATCATTAAAGAATTAATGATGCAGTGAAAATATAAACAATAAACTAAATCAAATTTTGAAAGTTTGTTTACATTGAAATATTCTAAAACAAACATATCAATTGAATTTCTTACAACCATAGAACCAAATATTGTTTTAATTCTATTAATTACTGTAACAAGAAATATTTGTCTATTTAGAAAACACGCTTGTATAAAGAGATATTTATATAATCTATTACAGTATTATTTGCAATTATTCATTTAAATAAGTGAATAAGAATTATCCCATTTAGCAGTTTTATTTCTCATTAACTTCATTTTCAATATATTTTATTAATTAAGACGAAAATATCATTATTATTTATTATTTTGGTTTATTGGTGTTATGTGTCTTTGATGTTTATTATTTCATATTTTAATTACAACTCTTTGTCTTTATTCATTCTAATATATTATTTGTTGTTTACTATTTTTGATTAGATTTGTTAAATTGGATTAGTTGATATAGGTGAATGAAAGATATAAGAAAGGAAAATAATTTTAAAAAACAAGAATAATAAAAATTACTTGAAAATATTAAGATTTGATATTATTCAAAAAAAAAAGAAAAGAAAAAAGAAAAGAAA